TGGCTGGCTGGTAATGCTGTGTTTGATGCACCCCAGGATGTGGTTTGCCCCCTTGGCTGCCAGGGCAAACACTGCTGGCTCCTGTTGAGCCACCCACCAACTATCACCCCTTTCTGCAAGGCTGCTCTCCAGCCACTTCTTTCAAGTTTAGATTCATATCTGGCTGTCCTGGGTTACACAAAAATTCTGGTACCCACCTTTTCTCTTCTCTTTTCCGAAAATATGCCTGCTAATTTGGACTGTGACTGGAACTTGAGATAAGAATGGTACTATTAGCCTAGAAGAAGAATGTATCCACAAGTGTGAAAGACTGTAATGTTGATGACTCAGACAACCAAGGTGCAAGCTGACCATGTGCAAAGTAACCACCCAAGTGCTGAGGGTGTGCACACCCACCACCTCAGGCTACAAGCTGGATGCTGAACAAGATAAGGAGAGAGGCAAAATTCTGCTAGGCAGAGTAGTGTTTCTTTGTCCTTACAGGAATGACTTAGCTATGATAACTCCCCTGAGGGAAGCACTAGGACAATTCACACTCACGTGGCCTAAAAATATTTATCTCTGCCGATGGCCAAAATGGATCAAACTGTGCTGACATAACAGGCAGCTGTAACATCTTAGGAGGTGTCAAAGACTTCTGAAATGCCCAGTGATCCAGTGAAGAATTTACCACCCCAGGGGAGGTATCGGGGCTGTTCCCAACTAAACTAAGCCCAACAAAAGACCACACTTGGACTTTACTCAACACTGGGTTTTCTTCCCTCACCACATGGGAATTTGCTCACCACTCAGGGCTTCCACCACCACCTCGACAGATCTGGACTTGACCACCACTTTGACAGGATTGCAACCACCACTTCAACCAACAAACATCAAAATTGCAACAATCAAGTCTCATCACTGGATCCAACAGGTGTCTTGCAGGTCCTTCCAGTCACCTGGGGATTTGCAGCCCTGCTCTGACTGCCTGTACCAGCACAACAGCTTCATTCCAATGCTGACTCTCCAACTGTTCCTGCCAGGTTTTCCAAGCATGGGGGAGGCAAACCACTCAGAAGGGTGGCCATCTTGCCTCCGTGCTGTGGCCACCTGTTTTTTCCAAGTGAGGGAGGTCGGCCACTGTTTCAATTTGGTCCAGTGGGCGGGGCTTGGGAAGTTTCTCCTTATCAGTTGATTTAACCCAGTTTTATCAGTATTCTTATTAGCATTTCTTCTTGGTAAAGAGTTATTTTTTCACTTATATTCAAACATATTTGATCTCTCTCTCTTTGTTGGAGAAATCAGGGGTATGGAATCTGAGGGAGACTTCTGTCTGAGGTCTCTGCCCCTCCAAAGTGTCTCAAACCAAGACACTGACATTACTTCATCCCAAGTACTGACATTACTTCATCCCAACCTAGCATTTGTTATTGTTCATTTTCATGCCATTGGCGATTGTCCAATGCTCCAGTCCATCCTCTGCAAGGCCTCTTGTCCCCTAGGAGAGTCAGTAGCACCTCCCAGTTCAGTATCATCACCAAACTTACTAACCATGGATTCAATTGCATCCTCCAGATCATTGATAAAAAGATTGACAGAACTGGCTGTAGGATTGAGCCCTGAGCAACACCACTGGTGACTGGTCACCTGACAGATACTTCTCTGTTCACTTCAACACTTTGAGCCCTGCCCTTCAGCCAGTTCTTCACTCAGTGCACTGTGTTCCAGCTCATCCTACAGCTGGATGACTCGTCCAGATGGATACCATTGGACAGTATCAAAAATCTTAATAAAATCCAGAAAAACTACATCTACCACCTTCCCTTCATCCACCATACAGGTGACCTTATTGCCCAAGAATACTAAATCATTTAAACAGGACTTTCCCTTTGTGAATCCGTGTTGACTGTGCCTGATGATTTGTTCTTTAAATATCTTTTATGAGCAGACAATATGATCTTCTCTGAAATTTTTTATAACAGGTCTATAGTTTTGGGATCTTCCTTCAAGCTCTTCTTATAAACTAGAATAGTGTTGGCTATCTACCAGTCAGCAAGGACCTCCCCAGGCTCCCAAGACCCTTTGTAGATGATTGAAAGGGTCCTCTGGTGACATCTGCTAGCTCCTTCACTATTCTGGGATGAATCCCATCAAGCCCAGTGGACTTGACATTAGGAAACTTTTCTTTACCAAGAGAGTGGTCAAACCCTGGAAACAGTCTTCCTGGAGAGGTCTCCCCCATGCCAGTCAGTGCCGAAGAGCCATTTGGACAATGCCCTTAATACCATGCTTTAATTTTTGGTCATCCCTGAATGGAGCAGGCAGCTGGACTAGATAGTCACAGATCCATTCCAGCTGAACTTGTCTAGTCTAGTATAAGCATTCAGCTGATACATCTGTCCCCTTATGATTTCACTGTCCAGAAATGGAAAATCACTGATCCTGCAGTTGGAACTCAGAAGAGCAGACAACACAAGTGATATAAGAGATGGGTAATAAAAAAGTAGGAGCTAGAAACAGGATGAAAAGTGGGAACAATGTGGTAGCAACTGCAGAGAAACTGCAGAGACAGGTGCCAATTCTGGGAAAAACACATGGGAGGAGACTTGGGAGAGAGTAGAGCAATAAAATCATGTTTCTGCTGTAGAGATCTCCCATGGATGCCTGACCCTGAACTGTCACAAATCTGAGAAGTGAGAGGTGAGTGAATGAGAGGGGTCCTATGGAGGAGGGCCCTTAGGAGTCTTTGTCCCAAGGAAGCTATTCCCAGTTTCAAAATTCAAAAATGGTTATCTAAAAGGAGAACTATTTTTAATTGATTATGACATGCTCAAAGCACACTTAATAGGATGCGAATCATCAGGACAGCTGCTTTGGTGACAAAAAACGCAGAGAAACCATTTTGATCCTATTTCACAGAATGTGTTCTCTGTCACTTACATGGCAGGATCACAGCTACCCAGGCTGCTTTCTTGGGAAATCTTTGGGCTTTAATTACCCTGTCAATTAGAGTTAGAGGTATTAATGTGGCAGTGAAATGATAAAGATTGTTCATGGTTTCTGTTCTCTACTTGTTTGTGTTCATCAGTCTTGAAAGAAGAGGACTTTACACATTGTCTTGACATGGTTGCTAATAAGCCTATAATGAGAGATTCACCGCATCAAATAAATTAGGCGCCAGCAGCCATGAAGTGAACAAGCTGAGATAACGACACAATGCAGTCCAGGAATAAAGAGGTGGAGAGTGTAGTCTCCTGGCTAGGGCAGAACACTCTGTTATTTTTAAAGGATGGATGGATTTAGACAGTGAACGGATAAAAGCATTTGAGAAGAGGGAAGTGATGACAAAAACCAACCACGCCTGAAGAAAATGGAGCAGGATGAAAGTGCATTGTATCAACATATGATCCTTGAAGCTATAGAAAGCATTTAAAACTGAGCATTGAGTAGATGGAAGTAATTTTCAGCAGAATCCTGATCTAGGGTAAATCAGAAAATCATTCTTAATGTATATGAAGCTATGTGGACTTACTTCTCCTGAGACTACAAAGAAGCAGATTAAGTCCCATATTCATGTGCAAAGCACTTTGGATCAACATTTTTAGTTTCAAATGATCTGGATTAAGTTGGACAGAGTGTAAAAATGAGAACTATTATTAATATTGTATGCCACAGGCTATATCAGCATATCAAATGTGCATGGTTTTGTGCAGACCTGTTCTTGCTTAGTGCTTTCAGCATCTTTAGTGGAGCAAATGCCTATAGTGTCCCTGGATGCTTAAACTACATTAGTTTTCAAGGTAAAGTAAAGCATGCCTAAAGTCCATACATTTCTAGATTATTTATTTGTGTGACTGGTAGAAGTCATATCATGCTGTGATTTTAATGAGTTCTATCTTCACATGTTCTTACTCCTGGAAGACCTTTATGGCCTTGCTCTGTAAACTTATTCCCTTAAGCTGCTTTATACATAAAATAGAACTATTTCTGAGAAATGGGGTTCTAAGATCTCAATAGATGTATTTGGGTGGAGACAAAAAAGTATAAGCAGTTGATACTGGTAGCCACATCAATAAAAAAATTGAAAGAATCCTAAAATTCAGAGTAGTTCTCATTTTTATTTTGCTTTCAGTTTATAGACTATGATTTTTCAGATTGGGCAAAAAATACACTACTCTTATTTTCAATCAGTTTCTTGTGCCAATTTTAATGCACAGTGCTTCAGTACTTGACATGAAAACACTGAAAGGAGAATGATAAGAACTCACACCATAGAATTACCATTATATATAATCATTAGGTTTTATAAGAATATAAAATATATGTGATATAACAATATCACACATTCATTCTCTTTCCAAACATTTAGAACCTAAACTACCTCTCAGTAGTCCCTTTAAAAATTACAGTTTTTCCAGTGGCCCTTAATATCAGTACAAGTTTCCTCACAGGTCAAGGATAGCAGATAACTTTAAAAGCATAGATTCTCTTTACTAGCATTATGACTCCTCTCTGTTTATTTCAGGAAAACCTTCCTGACTGTTAAAGATGCCATGATAAAAGTATATAAGCCTTTAAAGACTAGATTTTACACACTTGCTGTAAAAATTTTGCAAAATTATTTATTGAAATTCCTTGCAGATTGTTTCTTGGATGTCTTTTCCCATTCTCTTTCCACTCCTCACATTAAAAATATCTAACATAACAGCTTCCGTAAGTTCTGGTTGAGTTCTTTGGAGAGCTGAAAAGAGATGCCACAAGCTTCAGCCTCCAGGAATTTCTGTGGATGGATTCAAGAGCTCTGCTCTCAGGCTTCACAGAACCATCTCCTGTGCCACACTTCTGCATAGTGAGGCTGCCATCTCATTCATTTGCAGGTCTGTTCCCTTAGCAGTATGACATGCTAAGAGTCCTGCTCTTCACCAGCACCTGCCCTCCCTCAGCTCCTCCCTGTTAAACTCATATGGCCCAAGCATCAAGAAGCCTGATTGAATAAAAAAAAAAAAAAAAGAGGGATTTACCTTGGTATCTTTCTGCTTCCTGCAGTGGATCACAGCAAATGATGGTCAGTGTGTTTAGAATAACATCTGGAAAAATCCATTACCATCATTAAAAGCATTGTATACCACTCTTTTATTGATCTGCTTGGAAATTCTTATTCTCTGTTTCATACACTGTAGAAGAAGTGAGAAACACCTGGAAAGAATCTAGAAATTCAGAATCCATTAGAGTTCATCACTACCAGTCTCTGAGTCATCAGTGTGCTAGCCTTTGGGCTACTGTGTTTCTCTGCATCTAGCCACATCAAACTGTCAGTGATCAGTGTCATTAGCCTGTTTCACAATAATCAGTAAGAAAACATAGAGCCACTAAATTTTCTGATGGATAACAGGTTGATGGGAGCCAGGAGACTGTGATGGGAGACCCCTGTTTTCCCTCACAGTCTCCTGCCTCCAGCCAACCTCACCTTGTCAGAGGATAAGAACTTTTCCTTTTGAGACAGCAGTTCATGAAGGTGATGCATGACAGGGTGACATTAAAGGTGTGACCCATCTGCTTAAGAGTACAGATCCTTTTACCCAGTACAGTCACTTTCAACTACCTTCCCAAGGTATTCCACTTTGTGAAGGAAACTGTCTCTCTTTACCTTTATGTAAGATAAATGATCTCTCTAGTCCTTAAAATTACTTTTTTTCTGGGACTCACAAATCTTTGCTATCACATACATAGCAATTCTGCTATGCTCCAAGTTGGGGTCTTTTTTTAACATATTGGAAAAGATGGGGGTAGCAGCAAGAAGAAGAGTGTCATGGTCCTCTCCTTTCATCTTGCTGAAATGGAAAAACCTTCCTGTGAGGATCATCCCTGCTCTTGAGAGGGGACAGAGATAGCGCAGTCCACAACTCTGGTGGTCAGCACAGAAAGAGGCCTGGATGCCAAAGCAAGCGTACAGCATGTCTGTTTGATCTAGCCTATATTTTGAATCTAGATACTTCCCTGGCAATGGAATGTCACTCTTATGTAATCTTCTGTCTATTCCCAAAGCTTCACCCACCCGCCTGCATGTGTCATTATCTCTGTTTTGCCCCAATCCAATAAGCACCTGTTATCGAGACATCAAAGAAAACAATAGCAACTGAATAATGTTAGCATTTGATGCTACAGAAATAAAATTGAATATCTGAAACAGAATAAAGCCAAAATATAAATATCTTCAGAGTCAGAAAAAAAAGAATGTTATGGCTTTAACCTGTTTACATGCAACTATTTTCTCTAGTGGGATAATCAAGGTTTCAAAGATCTTGTCCTATATAATATCAAATCCTATTACTATTCAGCAAGGGAAAAATTATTCCCTTAAAATCAAGGTGCTCTTTAAGACTTTCCAGCAGAAAAAAAGCTTGTATTTTGTGCACAAGCACACACAGAAGGCATCTCAAAGGGAAATGTTAGCCTCAAATTAATTTCTGTCAGATTTGATTGAAAAACTCACATATATCTGTCCATTGGAGGTTTGTGACCTGACTCTGCCTGACTGGGATTTGGTAATCAAATAGAGACTCCTACAATAACGTGTATCAGTTTTGCTGTAGTTAAGAACTATAGCTGTAAAATGTGCATCATAGCAGCAGAATTAGAACAAGGAGAATTTTTGTATGCAGTTTCATTTGCTCATTAACTGAAAAGGTGCCCATAATTAGAAAAAAATCCAAAATACAAATAAAAATAATTTTTAAATGTTATGCTAATATTATTGCACCATGCATGAACCAGATTGTACACTTGAATGGATTTTTCCTTAATTTCTTGTGTGCTTTTAGTTGCTGGCCACTATTGCAGCTACTGCCTAAAATAGGCAAGACCTCAAACCTTTCTCATGTGGCAAGATCTGAAAAACTGTGCATTAATTCTTCACTCAAGTTCTCAAAGAACTGCTCAACTTTCTCTTATTTTCTCTCAAATTCTTACTTTCAGAAGTTTAACATCTAAAAAAGAAATAGTAAAAAAATGAGATAAATCCCATGACAAAAGGTTCCCTTTTTCAACCACATCTAATAAAAATGAGGTACCTAAATGTAAAGGCAGCAGTTACAGAGGTGTAACTACATTGCCACATGGCTGACATTACACTGGATCCAGTCAGACCCCTGGTTGTGGTGGAAGCCTCATGCAGAACTGCAGAAGCACAGTACTTAGTACGTAGACACAATAAACCCACACAGAATGGTGTCTGCTGTCAGTCATTGAAAACAAGGATCTCAAATTTTAACATCATTTTGATCAGGACTGTGCACCATTTTGAACTTTGGCCTCATTATATCACTTCATTATGAGACTCAGCTTCTGAGACTGAACTTCAGATCCAGATTGCTCATTATTTAAACAGTGGAAAAAAGGAAAGACATTCAGCCAAATTAAACCGAGGCAGCTGTGAGAATTTATTGGATCTATCTCCAGAAATTTTATTTAGTTTATAACATATCTCATTTAAAGTTTCTTTAGAGGATCTTTAAATGAAGGAATTTTGGAAGGCAAGTGGTGAATAGGAAACTGAGGGGAGGGAGAAGGAAAAATTAAAGAGAAACTTTTGGAAGAATGGTATGTAAAAAACAGGAAGGCAAAGAAATACAAGATGGACAATTGAACAATTGAAGGAATGGTAGTTGGACAGGAAGAAAAGGGGCAACAGCAGTCATTGGCAATATAATATGAAAGATTGGAGGCTGAGAGAGAATGTCTAAGTTTCAGAGCTAATAGATGATTATCTTAAGAAGATCACTTGGCTTCTTTCTGAGCTTCTGCGTAGAGAGTAATGAGTCTACTAGGTCTTACATCTGTGTAGGTCCAGTTTGGACAAGAAAACCAGCAAGGAATGAAAAGACCTGAGTCTTGGAAACTCGATGGTAGATGTTTGGGACAGAAATTGAGCTAATTTCCCCTATATTATTTCCTCCAAATAATATTCCAAGCTTTTGAGGTCTGATGAGGAGAAAATACATTTGTTTACACTTTAGTGACCCTGACTAGTATAACAGTAACATCATCTCCCTGCTATCTCTGCCTCCACAATGTAGATCTCCATAAAAATGGCATGTTAAAATCCAGCAGAATGAACTGTTTCTTTCCCCTATTTTTTATATGATTTTTTAAAGCCAAAAAAAAGAGGGAAATGAGAGGAAGAACACCATCATAAGTTCACTTGTACACTGTATGAAAACAGAAAAAAATTGCAAGGATTGTGGAACCAGCACCACAGCCAGACATTCAAGTCTTTAACTGCTTGGGGTTTGCTGAAAATTTTCGGTTTCTTCCCTATTGCCTCAGTTCCTGTGTATTCTTTCAGGCATTTTGATTTCTCTAACATTTTCCATTGTACATTCCTCTTTTATCTTCTTTATCTACCAGCCAGATAACAGTGTATTTTTAACAGGCATCTCCATTAGGGTATTGACTAAGTGGCTCCCAAGTCCTCTGTCACAAGTCACCGAGACAAGTAGTTATTGATGTTTTCTACTACCTTGGTAGCTGACACTATTTCCAACTATTTTTGGAGGATGAGGAAAAGAGGGAATATAAAAATAACAGAACAGGGTCACTTCAGAATCTATCTGCAAGAAATTGCAGCCCCTTTCCACTCCCCCAAAAATACTGTGGTGCACAAATAGTTTTCTGGCTAGCATACCTTTACAACTGATCATGTTCTTTACAAGGGATTGAAGTTACAATGCCTGTGCCTTTGGGATGATTGATTTTTGAGGAATTATGTTCAATACAACTGAGTACCAATAAACACTAATGCTTTCTTGAAGTAAGGGACTCTTAAGGACCAGATTCCAGAGGTATGAGCTAAAGCAGGAATTAGACCAGTCAAAACTGAGAAGACAAGACCAAAACCATGCATAATGGTGACAACTTGAACAAAGAGTAGTGGGTTCATTACAAGTAGTTCATTACAAGATGAGTTCAAAAGCAAGTGGTATGATCAAGTAACTAGTACAAACACTAAGCGTTACTTTTAAAAAGAGCATGTATTTAAATTATGGAAGTTGCTACCACAGAATTTTATAGAAGCCAAAGATATAAGATAAGGGGTATGGAACACAGTGTGTGGTTGCAAAGCCTAAACAAGTTCTTCATTGTAGGAAGTTAGGGGGATCATTTTACATTTACCTTTTTTTATTTTACTTTGCTAAACAACCAGGAGTAACCACTGCTGAAAACACATCTCATGCGAAGTATATTCTTCAGGAAGGCTGAATGGCCCACAGACAAATGTAATTACGAAGTCTTGCAGTCATTGCTTTCCCTTCAAAATTCCAGTTCCCAGGATTCTTATTTGCATGAAAAATCTCCGATTTCATGTAAAACTTAGACTTTTAATACTGATATGTGAAGAGAAAACTTGAAAACATGACTTTACTGTTCTATATGGCCTGAAAAAATGAGAGAAAATAATCGTATGTACATATCATTTCTTTAATTTAAGCCAGTCTTATAGTACTGGCTCATGATTTCAGAACACCTTGGGGACTTGCAGTTTTGTTCGTGCTTCAGACTTACCAGTACAGTAAATATATTCTGTTAGGCAGAACATCATTAGAAAAAAATATAAAACATATTTCTAATGACTGATTATATAAAATATTGCATCACATCTTTCAGATCTTCAAGTAAGTGCTGTCAAATTCACTTAGTGCTTGCAACTTCTATGAAAGTCTGCTCTAGGATACGTTCATGAAGAGCCTTATGTATAATCATCCTCACTATTACTGTGTACCTTGAATACCAACAATCTTATAACAGGCCAAGAAACACATAGATATTCAGGGTTTGAATAGCAGCACAGAACTGTTCATTTAGAACTTGTAATGATCTGGTGGACTCACAAGCTGGCTGAGAGGCAGGGAAAGGAATTCAGTCCTTGTTTCTGTAACAGGTTCTGTAACCTGTGTTGACAGCACTGCTAATATTAGTCATCTGAAAGACGGGCTGCTAATAACTGATTTTCAAACACTTCAGTTTTGTAAGTCTCCTGAGGTAGAAATAAACTTCTCTAGTTAAGAAAAATGCCAAAGGGGGTGACCTGTGCTTTTTTTTTGTTTCTGTAATTTATTGCTTTGGAAGACACAGAAGACAGCATTGGCATCACTTAAGCAACAACAAGCTGTGGCCCACCTTCTAACTATTTTACAGGACATTTAAAATA